GCAGCGCCCATGGGTAACCTAGCCTCTCACTGATAAGGGATTAAGTAAATATGTTTTTTGCAGGACTAGAGACACTTGTATAAGTGAAGGGAATGGAGGGTCAATAGTTCAAGACTGAAGCTGTAAACCATTGGAAAAACTGCTGTCATTCAGCTAAGGCTATAAAAACTTGTAAACTCCGATTGTTAGCTTATTAATATAGAGGAGTCAGAGTCGGGGAGTCGGAGTCGGAAGTACAAAAAACTGAGGAGTCGGAGTCGGAACATTTATCTACCGACTCCACAGCCCTGGTACACCTTCATTGACATCAAAAGATTCCCATGGGGAAAAACGCTAAATATGCCTGAGTGTGGAAAGACCTTCAGTCATGATACTTGTAAACGCCCTTGAAGATGCCTGGCACAAACTGGTTCCAGGCTGATCTGCTCTTCCTCAGCTATCATTCCCTCCCGCCACTAATTCCCACAGCAGGTTTCTTGCCCATTTCCCCTCTCTCCTAGATATTTGACGGCAGGACGCTTGACAGGGTCCTTGGGAAAGAAGGCGGAAAGGGGAGGCAAGAAAGAGACGCTGGGGGGTGCGGACGGTTGACCCAGCCCTCCCTGCCCCTGCAATGTATTTTGCAGATATCCTTCATATTAGTTTGATATACTGCCCTAAAACTTAACCCCTGTAAAAATAGGCCAAAACAGCCTCCCCCCCCCCAAATGAACCCACCAAGGCCCCAGTTTTCCTGCAAGAAAGCTCCAAAACTAATCAGTCAGGTAGAAAAATAGCCCATCTGGCAACAGTTCTCAGCCAACATTACAACTCATCCTCCCCAACTGCCCTGCTGGATTATGGCTTTGCCTTTTCAAGTGAAGAAAACGGCAGTGGTTTTTTTTTTGTTTCCCCGAAGATTAAACTCAGTCCATTTAAATTGTTGCAAATTTTTATTAATGAGTCAATTCACCCTTTTCTCTCCTTTTTGCCTCCAACCTCATCCTTAATGCCACTTTCGCTCTCTGGTTAGCAATTCAAGTTATGCAGCCAATAACTTTTGCCTCATTTGACGACGTCTGTGTTGCAGGAATACATTCCTTGCACGTTTCTTGTACTTATTTGGACTTTCTTCTAACTTTTATGTTTTTATCAAAGCCTTGTAATGTACCTTTCCGCCTTAGCACCTAGGTGCTTGTCACTTTCTAACTGCAAAATAAGGGACTTTCTCAGGCTGAGTAACAAAGGACTTTTTCAACTGAACATGCTAGAAGATTCAGCTGGCTGAAAACGTCCCTTTTCACAACAGATTTATGTGACTCCTGATGCCTTTTCCCATGGAAATGTTCTCCTTTTAATAAAATGCTCTTTCAAATGGTTATGCTTAATATTATGGGATGTTTATCTTACTGTCTATGTTTCTGATGTAACATTTCTTCCATCCAATCAACTATTCTTTTGTACTTTTTCTACTGAATGTGTCCTGGACTCCTCTTTTCATTAGGGGAAACCTCTTTGTTAGATTACTTTAATCAGTTGCCTTTAAAAGATCTTCTAACTCTGCCTAATTTGAACAATGTAATGTGGCAGAATCTAGGCGTCTGACCTGCCCCAACCGGGTCCCTTAGGAAAGAAAGACCCTCGACTTCATCGGATTTTTTTTTTTTTTCAAAATAAATTTTTATTATTTTCATCATAAAAAAAACATCACAAATATTACACAATGCTATATGAGAAACCCCCCACCCCCCACCCCCCCGGACTTCCCAAACCTAATCCCAGGATAATATTCAGATATAAGTAAACAAGTATTAATATCTCTAACTCCATAAAATGTATTGTTCTACATGTATAGGTAAAATATATTAAAAAGAAAAAAAAGAAAAACAAATTTACTAAAAACCTAAATTATATTCCACCACTCTGTGCTTCTTTTGAATATAAACAATCCATCTTCTCCATATTAATAAAAATTGTTCGTTTGAATGATTCTTCAGGTAAGCCGAAATCTTTGCCATTTCAGCAAGGTTCGAAACTTTCAATCTCCAGTCTTCCATTGTAGGTAAAATTTTACTCTTCCAGTTTTGAGCTATCAACAAACGGGCAGCAGTTAAACAATACAACATCAAATTCATTTCTTTTACATCCAGATTTTGTATGATACCTAGGAGAAACAACTGAGGCGAGAAAATAATTCTTTTAAAAATTTGCTGTAAGTTCCACCACAATTTTATCCAAAAGGCCTTAATAACCTTGCAAGTCCACCACATATGAAAAAAAGTTGCATCTTGTTGTCCACACCTCCAGCACTTGGATTCATAATTCTCATAAATGCGAGACATAGTTGCAGGGTCCATGTGCCATCTGTAAAACATTTTATAAAAATTCTCGCGTAGATTTTGAGCTTGCGTGAACTTCACATTTCTCACCCAGATCAACTCCCAGGTATCCATAGATATTGTTTCTCCTATATTTTGGGCCCATTTGATCATACAATCTTTAACTAACTCAGTTTCTGAGTCCAATTCTAATAAAACATTATATATCCTTCTAATATGTCCTTTAGCACCGTCCCTTACTTGTTTCAGAAAATTCCCATCTTCCATAGAAAAAATAGTCTTTTTGTCAATTCGCCATCTCTCTTGAATTTGTCTATACACAAGCCAGGAAAAGTCTGGATTTTTCTGTTTCAAAACTTCTATTGGTTTCAGGCACCAGTTACCACTACCACTCTGATATTGATCGAATTGAGTCTGTAGCGTTTACCAGCCAATGTTACAACTATGCCCACCGGTATGTCCCATCTGAAAATTATTTGCCTGTTCTTAAGCTCCTGTGTCAGAAAAGCATAGTCTCGACGTGCTCTGAGTATTTTCGCTGGGATTTCTTTTAAAAGAATAATGTCTTGGTTTAAGATCTTAAATCTTTGTTGGTAAAAGAGCTGCATTATTTCATTTCGTCTCGATTTTCTTGTAAAATAGACCACTATATCTCTTGGCAAATTTTTTTGACGAGCAATCCAAGAGTTCACCCTGAAAACACGCTCTAATTCCAAATAAATTTCCTGTCCACAAGACAAAGCATCCATAAGTGCGTTTGAAATTACTTGTCTTAAATTCTCCTTTGGATCCTCAGCCAACCCACGGATCCGAATTGCAAACTCCATATCACGAAATTGGGCAATCAGCACATCAGCCTTAACATTTTCCAGACTCTCCTCTACAAGTTCAAGCCTATGTTCGAGACCGCCTCCTGCCACAGATTACCCCCCACCGACCTGTACGCTCCCACAGAGTGGGTCTCCTCAGGGTGCCGTCAGCCAGACAGTGCCGGCTGGCGACCCCAAGGGGGAGGGCCTTCTCTGTGGGAGCACCCACCCTCTGGAACGAACTGCCCCCAGAGATCAGGGTGATCCCTGATCTCCCTTCCTTCCGCCG